TTATTAAAGTATTTGATTCTCACATAGACATTTTACATCGAATAAGTATTTTTGTACAGCTGCAGACGCAATGGATATTGTTCCTGTATGTTGATATTCCCGGATACATTATAACTTTGGTAGGTTGTTATAATGATATTTGCATTTTGTTTTCATTCATTCGCTGCAGCTTTGAACAGAATCATTCTTGTTCCTTTCCGTTTGGTTGGGAAGTTTTTCGATGCGCGATAGACGGTGTTTTCACAAGTATTTTCTTTTGTAAGCGTGTATATGTTACAGTCAATGTGTAAAATATGATTCACTCAGGCAATTTATTAAATATCTAAATATTTCAGTCATTTTACAAATTGACTGAATAATCCATTCATTTATTTAACCGACTGACTAAAAATGATAAAGACGACCAAGAGAGCTTAAACACATCACAATATATTAATTATGCTAAGAAAAGAAGCCAAACAATACAGAACTGTACTTGGTGATGGTATTAAACATATTTGGAATTCGTTATCATATTAATAAAGATGGACATATTTTTCAGTTAATTTGTGAAATAAACTGAATATTTAGGCGTTTTAATACATTTCCTTAGTGAAATCTGTTTACATTTTGAATGTAAACATATACACACGGTAAAATAAGCAATGTTCAGTGAAATATTTACTCTGTGTTGCAAGTCAAAATAGTGTACACGAAGATTGCACAATTACTAAGCAAGTGACTTATCAAAACTGCATCACCATTACCGATGCTCCCCACAAATATACCTACATTTCAAAAACTGTATTTCATTTTTGTTGATCAGTGTGACCATACGTCCTTCTACTTTCAATTAAAATGCGCTTACGAATGGCGAGCACAGGTCGCGAACAAGTCTAGATTTCTGCTATATCATCCGGGTACTCACTGGGAAAATACAGTAATGCACAGGTAACAACTACTCCCGCGGAATTGCTTTAGATCAGTGTCCTTTGTACGTTGAAATACTATATATTGTGAAAGACAAAATGATGTATCAAGGATCAAGTAGAAGATACATTGACCGTTGCGCTGGGAGTTTATTCAACAGACCGTGAAAATAACACTGCTGTATCTTATTATTTATTTTAGATGATGCAGGCAAAGCTCACTTCTCCTGGCGGCCATTATCAAACGGCCAGCTAAAACACAACCCCGCGCTTACGTCTACAGGTCTCTTCCTGTAGTACGGTAATTAGTATTCTCTCCCTCAAGTGTATCCTCAATGATATAACCCACCCTCATTAATTACATGCTGCTCTTTTCCAGCCTCACGGCTATGGAGCTGTGATAAAGAGTCCAAGTCATCATAAAGTAATCAGGGTCCAATAAAAACAATGCGCCGCCAAACCTCATACATATTATCACTGAAAGTCGTACTACAGACGGTTAATGTCAAATCACAATAAAAGCATTTCAGTTGCAATAACATGTTCCAGGACCATGTATTCTCTTAATTAACACCATCGGATTTAGAAGCAATGGTCGTATAAAACAAAACAGATCTATTTAATCGCAACAGTATTCATGTTATTCCCACAAAATCACATAAAGAAAGGAGACATTAGGAAATACATGTGTATTATCATTTTTCGTCAGGATAACAAAATTTTCTCTCCTTGTTACCACCTCCAGGTTCAGCTTAAGACGGGTCCTCCTTTGGTCAAAAGTTTGTTCCCCCTCTAATGAGTGTGTCACGCGTTGCACACGAGTGGCGGACGGGGTGCACACCCGTGTGCAACGCGTTGCACACGGGTCTCACACGCGTGACCAACCCGATGCACACTGGTTGCGTAACGCGTTGCCCATGCGTGTAAGGGGAATGAACTTCTAGGCAGTAGTGTACATACATACATACATACATACATACATACATACATACATACATACATACATACATACATACATACATACATACATACATACATACATACATACATACATACATACATACATACATACATACATACATACATACATACATACATACATACATACATACATATAATGTCTCATTTCTGTCGCCAGATTCTTTGATATATTGCCGCCATGAAAACTCCTCCTTATGCTCTGTTCATAGCCTGTTCTGTTATGTTCTGTATCTGTAGATCTGTTGTTAATGTTCAGGTAGGGGGAGAGCGCTGTGTTGCCAGTAGTTGGCCTGAAGGAGGGATGTAAACTATTCCAATCCACGATTATTCTCACAAACAATCAGTGATTATATAGGACAACGTAGATAGACTTTAATACCTCAATAACTCTGGAAGAAGTGAGACACGTCACGCACAAGTTGAATTTGGCCTGGATGTGATAATATATCAGTTGATGTTTTAAACATAACGGTTGTATTGGATACCTTCACAGGTTATTCTGACTGGAGACTGGTATGTACCCTCTAGTTGGTCCAAGTCCTGTCCAGTTCTCACGTCAGAGAAACGTTTTCTTACTGTGGTGTTAGTTTTGCAAGTGTGTCATATAAACTCTACTGTGGTATTTTTAACAATAGACTATCTGAATATGATGACGAAAACTCATTCATGATAATCAATACGGGTTAAGGAAGTGACGACATGTTAAAACAAGAGCCAAAACAGTACGAATGACAAATGAACTGGTCTACAACTTTGAAACTCACGTCAAGGTCAACCTTCAACAGACTTCGTCAATCAGGAAACAAGCCTCGCCGATGTTACACTTTATTACAACATATATTTTGTCCCGTGCTAAAGTAACAGTGATAATATAGCCATCGGCACCCAAAATTCAATTTCCAATTCACGCTTGTGCCAGTCACTATTCCAAGATGGTTGTTTGCCGCGTGATTGGCGAACGGCATGTTCGCTTTTTAATCTACGAAAGGACGATTAAGTTTGCTTCACGATTTTATACAATTTGTCCTCAAAATCCTTAAATATCACCCAACTATTCCACGATGTTGATCCCACATACCAGGTTAACCCTACCAGAAGACTCAGTGGAAAGATTTGCATCGTGCATCGTGTATGGAGGAGCAAAAACACGGTGTCTTTACTATGACAATTTGGCTCCAAACGTTCACTTCTTCCAACAAATATGCTTCAGAGAAACACCACTCTTCTTACAAACGAGTCTGCACTGTCTATCTGATTTGTTTATCTTGTGAAGACCAGTGTCAAAGATAACATTACTAATCTGATTTACACAGGCAGATCACATGGTGTGGGCGTATACTGATCTTGTGACTAGAAAGATATCACACAAACACAGGACAGGGGACAACTCAGAGGTAGGTTTAGTGTTTGTACTGGACATAACATGGTATAAATATATACATATGTACACGATTACTTTACACTTTCAACATCAGTTAATATTACGAATATTACACGATTACATTTGATGGTACATCATTTGACATGGAAAATATCTGAAATTGAATAGTTTTTGTCTCACATAAATGTGTACACTTGCGTCAAGCTGGAATCTTCCAATGTATTCAAGGTCTGTCTATTATAAACCTTGTATTTTAGATCAAGACGTAAGGATTCCAGGTGAAAAAACATAAACCAGTTGAGATTTCGTTGGGCCAGCCAAAGTATTTTGGGGGAGGTTAATGATTATGGAAGAGATTGGTATAGATATTTTAAACATATTCTATTATTCACAGCCAATCCAAGACGTATAAGTGCGCCGTAAGACATTTTCTCAATGGTCGATCCGCAGTCCTCAGTTGACAAACTGATTTTATGCCATGACTGGATGAGGCGATATGGTAGCTAGATAGTTGTCTGGGCCTACTGTGTACCCTGTGCACATAACTGCAGTTGTACTTTTGTTTTTTTATGGGCTCTTGACCTAAAAATGCTTCACCCATAGTACAATTATGTCGAACTATCAAGGTAATTTCAAGCGTATATTTTAAACTTTCATTACCATAGCTTTATATCGACGAAAGGTGTTGGCGTTATGTGAATATGAAACGTCCATTTCACAACCAGACCCTGATACTCAAGCCCTCTCTACCGTATTTCGCGTATTAACAAGTATTAACAATATTGTAGAGGCGACTAACAGGAGGCACGCGGACTTGGTTGATGCATGTTATGGTATCCCAATCGAAAAGATCATAGATCAGTAGGTTATCTGACTTCATTATTTACAGACTGCCATCAAATAGCTGTAAAATTGCTGAGTGTGGTGTTGCAGAACAACAAAACCAAATGCCATCTCTTGATTATGCAAGCTGTACTTGTGAAATAGAGAGTAATAACTGAGTGTGTTTCCGTGTCACAAATACCATATATATGAAATCAACATTGCATTGTGCGATCTTCTGGCGAGAATACTACATACATGTATTATGCATTCGTCATATTTGATATTTATGATTCGGAATCACACGAAGGTAATCTCTTACCCTTATATTTCATTCTTACAATAATCGATGTTTCAGACCTAATTTCGATCAATGATGCTCAACTTTTCAAACTAACCTCGCTCAACTTTACAGTCCGCGTATAAATATGGTGTTTGAGTGAACTATCCCATTTATCATACTGATTTGCAACCATGTTTGTCAGCCATTGGTGGAGCGCTTCATTCAACCGTTCAAACTTGTTACCGACGTATGACGTCTTTAAGTCTGGTAACAGATGAAACTGGTGCAAAGACAAAGTAGCAAAACAAAATAGTTTCAGTAAATGTTGGGAGGAAGTATTTACTGGTCGAAAGAGGTGACGATATGGGACTAAAATCTCTCCCCCAAATGGCGTGCTGTGGTGTTATCACTGTAGGCTTGCTGAAGGGCATTGATATGAAACGGGAGAACACATGCAGTATTAAAGTGAGGAAACGAATCCAGTACTTTGGCAAGGCAAACAAGTGCTTAAATCAGTGGGTTACCCGTCTGATGGAGCTATCCTACATATAGCAGTAATCACTATGCTAATATGTTACACTGCAATTTGATTCTACAAACATTACAATTCTCTAGGTTACTGCAGATGGCGACGTCGCGGGCTGAGAAAGTGACGGAGTTCCTCACTTGTGTAATCTGCCAGGAACTGTACACAGACCCCTGTACACTGAGATGTGATCACACATTCTGCAGGAAATGTGTCACAGGATACATCAAAACCAGACCAGATGCTATACAGTCCAAGACGATCCCCTGTGCCTTCTGTCGACAAGATACCAAGGTCCCCAGCCCCAGCAGGCCTGTGGAGGAGTGGGCGGGGCAGATCAAACCCAGCATTATTATACAGGGGCTGATTGACACACAAGCTGACGTTGTCAAAACAGGTATTAGTTTTGTTTTTTTGTATGAATTTTGCAAACATACATCTTGTAATAAAAATATTTTTATGGCATTGTAAGATTAAATGGTGCTTGTTTTTTAAGTATAGTATAATGATATCATAACAGCAACAGACTGTTCCAAGGATAACAACTAAACAACACCAGAAAATATACATTATCTATAAAACGAATTTGTCAAAAGCATGCCTCTGTAAACTGTAAACAAGTCTTAGGAACAAAGATGCAATGTGTATTTTCTTAAGGTCAGTGTGCACTGGCCATGCAACTACTTATTGCCATGTTGATTATTGGCGGCGAACTTGACGCTACCATAATGTATATAAATATATATTAAGGTGACCCATAATGCACTGGAAAACAAATTGTCTAAAAAGGTCTACAAATGATACTGTCTGTAAAGGGTAATTATAGAATGTTACAAATAGATAATATTGATCAGTACTTCACGCTTGTAAAGTGTAAATGTACCTGTTAGGTGAGTGAGTGAGTTAAGTATTACGCCACTATTAGCATGCATCGTGGCAAGAATTCGGCTCCAACCCGAGTCTTCAGCGTGATGGACCAGCACTTAATCTCCCACCCTAACCCACCTGCTTCAACTTACTTGAAAATAGATAAGGGCATTATCTTTCTTCGAGTTTTAAACTTTTGATTTATAAAACAAATATTATGATCTGTCAAATAACTACAGACATGTCCACTTACAGGTTCCGCTTCATGTTGCTCAGTGTGTGAGAAGTTAGGGGAGACAACTCCGGGAGCCTCATGGTGTTCCAATTGTAAAGTGTCTCTCTGCGAGAGATGTGTCAAGATGCATCGTGCAAATCCTGCATCACATGGCCATGAGATCTGTGACCTTTCCGGGAAGGTGAAGGTGAAGAGGAGGCGTAAGGTCATGTGCAGGGAACACAAGGATGAAGTTATAAAGCTTGTCTGTAAAGACTGCCACAAAGCCGTGTGTCAGACATGTTGTGTTATTTACCACAGGCAATGTGAGTCTGTCGTTACCTTAGAGTCAATGTTGCCAACCATGACCCACGATTTGAGAGAGAAGGCTAATGTATTGTCAAAGAATATACATAGGAAACAAACACTTGTTCAGAAAACAAACAAGAAGATTAGCGGAATTGAGAAAAACAAAGTAGCAGCAGAAAGTCACATCAAATCTGTTGTTGAGAGAGTCATCGCCAACATCAAGCAGAAAGAAAACCAACTGATAAATAAAGTCAGGGATATTTCAGACAAACAAACTAAGCAACTTAAAGCAGTTGTTAAATCTGAAGAGATTGAGATGCAGATGTCCAAACAACATTGTGAGTTCATTGACCAGGCCTTGGTATCGGACTGTGAGAAGGACCTGTATGATGCGTATCAGGCCTGGGAGTCGAGGGTTGTGGAGTTGGGGGATTTCAGGGACACAGACACAGTAGACAAACAGGAAATAGATGGCATCAGGTTTATGCCTGACATGGACAATATCCAGTACATCCTGAATGAGCTTCAGTTGGGGAAGATTGACGTCACACGCCAGGATCAAAGTACATGTCTGCCGTCTCCAGTGCGGGTGGACATGATAGATGGAAGGATGGCGAGTGATGAGGGGAAACCGGATCTACAGGACATCACAGTTCTATTTGTAGACGGTATACAAACAATTGTAGTCAGTGACATGGGGAACAATTCATTGAAATCTTTCTACACCAGAAAAAAGAAGCCATGTCATAGTAAACTCCCCCTGGGTGAACTGCTATGTGGTGTAACACGGTTGAAGGAGAACCAGGTGCTGGTTTCTGTTGCTGCGTCCCGTGAGATTGTCACAGTTGAAGTGACCCCAGACCTGAAGCTCGTGTCGACTATAACAACAAGCAAAACGTACATGTCTCGCTGTTCTGGGTCCTTCATCTCTCGCAGCAGGTACTGATGACTGTGTCGATATCCTGGACATGGCGGGACACGTGCTGAGGTCAGTCACCACACACAACAAGGATGCATTGTTTGCTATGCCCTACAACATGTGTGTCAACAACAAGGGCAACATACTCGTGTCTGACTGTGAGAAGAAGTCTGTGACATGTGTGACGCCAGAGGGGGGTGTTGTGTGGAGATACGCCCCTACCGGAGACAGAGCTCTCAGTATGCCTGCTGGTATCACAACTACCAGCACAGGAGACATCTTGCTTGCAGACATGAAAGCCAAGAAGATGATACAGCTGACAGATTCAGCGGAGTATGTCGGAGATGTTGCCACGTCACAGGCCGCACATTGTGTTTTTTGCGCGATACATGTAGATAGGCATGACACAATGTATGTGTGTGGTGAAAGTCAGATACGCAAAATCAAGTTCATGTAGTCACATCAATGATTGAATTCATCGGTATCGCTTGGTTAAAACAAATGATTTCAATTTGGAAGACATGTTTTGTTTTTTTTTGTAGGATGATTAAATACACAAGAAAACCGATCCTTCGAAATGTCATGTCTTAAGTCGATTATTTCATCATAAAATAACACTGCCAATAACAAACATAATGGGCAGTTTAAGGTAGTGAGTTCAGAATGTTGCAATCAATGTGATCAGTTCTTCAGACTTTATTGTGATGGAGTTGATCCTGACCAACTGGTGCAATACTATACTTGAAAAATATGAGTGGAAAAACACAGTTACACATTTGTGTAATTTTCTTGACATTTGGTTTGTACTTAGATACATTTATAAATAATTGCTATATTGTGTTTATCCCCAGTACATGTTTCATTGTATACAGGTTCTATGTCACAATATGTGATTGCTTTTAAATAAGAAACTCTGTTTTTATTTAAAGGTGAGACTGCATAGGAAATGTGCCCAATATTCATATCTTAATACTGTTGTTCATACAATGTATAAATTAGTTTGAAAACTTAGTTTGACTTGAATGTGCTGTGCATATCTTGATAATTCGTTGGAATGCTTACCCTTGTTCACATTTTTTTATTACTTACCTACTTCTTGAATAGTATTTCATCGTTCTTTGCACCGAATAAGAAATCGAATGTATTATGCATCACCATATCGAGTATACTATTGTGATGAATATGTGCACCATCTTCTCTTTTCGAAATAACTAATAACATTTTCCACAATTGGATAAAATGTCAGTTCCATGACATGAAGAAATCAAGTCGTGTTCTAGTCCTTCATAAACACACCAGTTGTTTTGCGAACATCCTTCCACATATTCGGACTTTGAAGCTATTTTGAAAAAAAATAATTTCCTATTTTACTTGCATATTATGAACAAATCTGATTCTGGTTGAATAGCTAGACACCACACACAACAAGGATGCATTGTTTGCTATGCCCTACAACATGTGTGTCAACAACAAGGGCAACATACTCGTGTCTGACTGTGAGAAGAAGTCTGTGACATGTGTGACGCCAGAGGGGGGTGTTGTGTGGAGATACGCCCCTACCGGAGACAGAGCTCTCAGTATGCCTGCTGGTATCACAACTACCAGCACAGGAGACATTCTGCTTGCAGACATGAAAGCCAAGAAGATGATACAGCTGACAGATTCAGCGGAGTATGTCGGAGATGTTGCCACGTCACAGGCCGTACATTGTGTTCTTTGCGCGATACATGTAGATAGGCATGACACACTGTATGTGTGTGGTGAAAGTCAGATACGCAAAATCAAGTTCATGTAGTCACATCAATCATTGCATATATTCAAGCATCGGTATCGCTTGGTTAAAACAAATGATTTCAATTTGGAAGACATGTTGTTTTTTTGTTGTAGGATGATAAAATACACAAGAAAACCGATCCTTCGAAATGTCATGTCTTAAGTCGATCATTTCATCATAAAATAACACTGTCAATAACAAACATAATGGGCAGTTTAAGGTAGTGAGTTCAGAATGTTGCAATTAGTGTTATCAGTTCTTCAGACTTTATTGTGATGGAGTTGATCCTGACCAACTGGTGCAATACTATACTTGAAAAATATGAGTTGAAAAACACAGTTACACATTTGTGTAATTTTCTTGACATTTGGTTTGTACTTAGATACATTTATAAATAATTGCTATATTGTGTTTATCCCCAGTACATGTTTCATTGTATACAGGTTCTATGTCACAATATGTGATTGCTTTTAAATAAGAAACTCTGTTTTTATTTAAAGGTGAGACTGCATAGGAAATGTGCCCAATATTCATATCTTAATACTGTTGTTTATCCAATGTATAAATTTGTTTCAAGTGTGGACTTGAATGTGCTGTGCATTTCTTGATATTTCGTTAGAATGCTTACCCTTGTTCACATTTTTTTATTACTTACCTACTTCTTGAATAGTATTTCATCGTTCTTTGCACTGGATAAGAAATCGAATGTATTATGCATCACCATATCGAGTATACTATTGTGATGAATATGTGCACCATCTTCTCTTTTCGAAATAACTAATAACATTTTCCACAATTGGATAAAATGTCAGTTCCATAACATGAAGAAATCAAGTCGTGTTCTAGTCCTTCATAAACACACCAGTTGTTTTGCGAACATCCTTACACATTTTCGGACTTTGAAGCTATTTTGAAAAAACATATTTTCCTATTTTACTTGCATATTATGAACAAATCTGATTCTGTTTGAATAGGTAGACATCATCTCAATGTTTCCGGTTCCGTCAGATTGTCTGCTTTCAGAAAAAAAACTATTCTTTGAAGATTTTCAAAAGTGTAATTGTGCTAGACATCCTCCCTGAGGCTAGGCGAACAGATGACGACAACACTAAACCATAAACTCGACATTCCAAAAAGTTGAATATGAGGAATAAATATGTGTAATGTCATGTGATTATTCCTGATTAATTCTCCATGTAGCACACATCCTGTCTATGTCATGTATCCAAGTACAACAGTTACAACCACAAAAAATATTCATATACATTTCACAAATACTTTTACACTACGTATTTTTTTTCATCTATCCTCCGTTCAATTTGAAAGTTTTCCACAATGTAATTCCCAAATTAACGTGTGGCTATATTTTTTCAAATATTTTATCATCAAACTGATGAGGCGACATTCTTTCACTAAAAGCTACATCGATCACAGTTCTCCACCTTTCGCAGCTGACCTTGGCATGTCCACATTCTCTACAAACCTTCACCTCCATCACACAATGGACTATACTCTCACACTTTGACGTCTGCCGATGGTGTTACTTTTGCCTCAGGAAAGCATATCCACCTAACTGTATTACGATCCTGTATGGTCAGACCTTTGCACTTGACTGTACGGTGATCCTTTATGACCTGACCTTTGCACTGGACTGTATGATGATCCTGAATGACAATGCCTTATTATCAGACAGTACGATAATCCTCTATGAAAATATTTTTTAATCAGACTGTACAGGGATCCTTTCTCAACTGGTCTCTGTATCAGACTGTGATGATGACACTGTCTCATCTGACCTTTGTATCGGACTGTACAACAATTTTGTATGACCTTACCTTTGTACCGGACTATGATGATCCTGTAAGACAATGCCGTATTATCGGACTGTACAACAATCTTGTATGAAAGGGTTTTTCAATGAAACTGTACAGTGATCCTATCTCCATTGTATCAGATTCTGTATCAGACTTTTCAGTGATGCTGTCTCTACTGATCTCTGTATGAAAAGATTTTAGTAGCGGACTGTGCTGTGATCCTGTTTCCATTGACCTTTGTATGTGACTGGCCTGGTGATCCTGTCTCCATTGACCTTTGTATGTGACTGGCCTGGTGATCCTGTCTCCATTGACCTTTGTATGTGACTGGCCTGGTGATCCTGTCTCCATTGACCTTTGTAGTATGTGACTGGCCTGGTGATCCTGTCTCCATTGACCTTTGTATATGACTGGCCTGGTGATCCTGTCTCCATTGACCTTTGTATGTGACTGGCCTGGTGATCCTGTCTCCATTGAACTTTGTATGTGACTGACCTGGTAATCCTGTCTCCATTGACCTTTGTATGTGACTTGCCTGGTGATCCTGTCTCCATTGACCTTTGTATGTGACTTGCCTGGTGATCCTGTCTCCATTGACCTTTGTATGTGACTGGCCTTGTGATCCTGTCTCCATTGACCTTTGTGTGTGACTGGCCTGGTGGTCCTGTCTCCATTGACCTTTGTATGTGACTGGCCTGGTAATCCTGTCTCCATTGACCTTTGTATGTGACTGGCCTGATGATCTTGTTTCAACTGACCTTTGTATCAGATTTACGATGATCCCGTAGGACGCGAATGAGGCCTGGGGGTCTGGGATGTAACGTCCGATCCCATTATCAAAGTAACCAATCTGTGATTATGCAAACTTATCATGGCAATACCTGCTTCACTCTGAAATTGCGAATGTGCACCTCACCTGTTGTGAGGTACTCATTAAAGGGAAGCATGTAATATCGATTTTGATAACCGTATCAAAAACAACAAGATCGAATAACCACTTCTTGTTTGTTTCATATTCAGCCACCATCAAACCTTCGTCCAGCACAATGGGTCTCACGGAAGGCGATCTTAATCCTTTTGCATGCAGGACACAGCTGGCAGCCACATGCACAAAAAATATTATTAGGCCACAGCGTCACTGTCTAACCAGATATGAACTGGTGAAACAGGACACAGCTGGTAGCAACATGCACAAAAAATATCATTAGGCCACAGCGTCACTCTCTCACCAGATACAAACTGGTGACACAGGGCACAGCTGGTAGCAACCTGCACAATTCTGTTATAGGCCACAGCGTCACTATCTCACCAGATTAAAATTGTTGACACAGGACACTGTTGGCCGCCACATGTACAATACTGTTATAGTCGACAGCGTCACTATCTCTCCAGATATAAACTGATGACACAGGACACAGCTGGTAGCAACATGCACAATA